CTGTTTAACAACCTGTTAAAATACACCAGAATGCAGGAAATGACATTTACTTCTTTAAAAAATTTCTGGGGGAGGACCCCCAGACCCTCCCACCAGTGGGTCCCCCCAACATTACAAACACTTACTCTTGTTTTTTGTCTCTGAATGTCATAAAATCAGTGATATTATCTGTGAAATTACAAATTGAACATCTGTTGGCAAATCCATAGCTTTATATTGACATATTTCAATTTGTCATTTTTATAAACACATCATAAATTTTCTGTTATAGATATTAGTTTTGGTGTGCCACCCTGGTTTGTCAGTGCCCCCCCCCCCCACATGCCCCCCCTGAAAAATTTTCTTCAGGCGCCACTGAAAACACGAGAGGAAAGAATAATTTTTATCCCAAGTAATTTTAAAAGTTAGTAAAATGTATTATTTTACAGAAAATAAAGAAACGTTTTGATTATTTAGCATTTTGTGTGTATTTAGATTTAACAACAGAATTCATGACAGCTGTTTTATATTAACCTGTCATTAACATGGTGGAGGTGATGTCTTTAATTTGCGCTCATTTTATTTTAAAAAAAATTGTGCAGAATTCAGTTTCTGTGATCTGGCCCATTCAAGTCTCTATAGACCAACTTGGCTATGAAAGTGTAATTTTTTCCCCTTGGTTTTGACCACAAAAGGGTACCCGATGACGCCCCCGGGGAGCAGCCAGTCGTCCATTTATGTGCTCTTTTGAAAAGATTTTTTACTCGTCCAAAGCGAGTTTAATTGCGTTTTCGGTCCCACGTTGGTTGATTATGCTGCTGCTGCCTGAAACCACAGAACAAGGATATATAGAAGTGGGCTAAAGGCTTTGACAGGTTAGATTGTCCTGCCTTGGGACTCGCATTTAGCCGGGGACCCCCGCCGGCTGCGCGCTCACAGAGTTTTGAGGGACAGCTACGGGGTTCCTCGGAGCCACAGAGGACGATTTAGTCACTGTTTCATTAGGCACTATTTGAACCTTTCAACTTATGGTGAATTAAAGGGGACGTGCTCAAATAGGGACAGGGATTAGGTGGGAGGGACCTCTGGAAATTAGCTGACGCCCAATTTAACTCGCTTCTGTCAGAGTTTGGGATCCATTCCTAATTGAGAGGGGAAGCAGGTGAAGTTTGAGTCCCACGCAGGCCCTTTCAGAGTGGGAATAAATGGCCTCCTTTCACATCCCGCTGCTCATCGTATATTATTGGGGGGAAAGCCATCTAATGAATATATATTGAAGTTCCTATTAATTGAATTAGAGTTGCCTTGCAGGTGTGAAGAACCAGTGCAGTATACGGAGTGACTAAATAAACGCTGGTTTTAAAGAGATCCTCGATTAGTTGTAACATTAGACTTCATTTAATAAACTAATATTTTAACTGTAAAATAAAGATTGTAAAAATGCTGTAGGATGTTTAGTTTTTATCATTTTTAAACTAAAAAATTAAAAAATATAGTACACGGACGGAGCCATTTTATTTCCACACAAAGCATTCTGGGTAAA